GCAGTGCTAAATTACTCAACTCTAAATTACTTACTAGGTTTAGCAATGCTAAATTACTTACTCACCACTCAATTACCTACTGGGTTTAGCAGTGCTAAATTACTTGCCTTTTAATTATTTACTAAGTATAGCAATGCTAAATTACTCACCACTCAATTACCTACTGGGTTTAGCATTGCTAAATTACTCAACTCTAAATTACTTACTAGGTTTAGCAGCAAGTCGGATGTGATTTAATTGTAAATGTGTTTTAATCCTATCAACAGCTTCTGACACAGTTATAGGTGTTTTTAACTTTCCAACCCTTCCACCTCCAAATCCAATCTTCGGTACCTACAATAGATTAACATATACTTATCTGTATATTCTAACTCTGTGAATGAACATACAATTTAAATTCTCTTACTTGGCCAATAAGAGTACATATTCAGCAGAATGAAAAGATTATTCTGTGATTTTGATATTTTTATACGGTTTCATATGCGAATCAAGTCTGATCAATGATTCATGCTGGCATTCATGGAATCATTTCTATCAATTAAAGATCATCCATACATGATACACCTTGGTCTTATAAAGCAACATTTAACTGAACGAGTTAACTCATACCTTTTCCAATTTGACAACATCCAGACTATTTATTTGACAATTCTCTATAACTTTTAATATTTGAGGTATATCAGAACTGGTACACAATATAGTATATAGTTTGATATTTTCATTGGATGAACTGAACCTGGAATTACAAACAAATTTTTTTTTTGCTATTACTGATCCAAATTTCCCATTTTTTTCCAAAAACCAGAGATTTTTAAATCATTGGAATTATGTGTATGCTTTTTGCCAATTTTTTACCAAGCATTCATTTCTAGAATTGTGAGACCATCCTTTTCCCAAAAATACTTACACTTCACTTGAATTGACTTTGACATCCAGTGAACTGATTGCTGATTTTAATTCATCATTTGCAGAACAAGTAATGTTGATTTTATGAGTCAAGTTTCCCAGTGATTCTTCAGAGTTTTCTATAGGAGACATCTCTTTAACATCTAATGAATAAATGAAAAGAATTTCATTAAAATGAAGTACATGTAGATTTAATCATTCAAAGATTTTGCAATGCCTGAATATTTTCAAAGCCTTACTTAATGATTTACTACATAAAAAACCCAATATAGGATAGACCTGAACAGTTTCAAAGCTGTTAAAGCTCGTATTGAAAATGCTAGAAGATGAGCTAGCAGATGAAGCCTTAGACCTACTCACCAAAGGCACTAATGAGCCAATCATTAACTCCAGCAGATTTAGCATCAAAACATGTATGAGGTGAATATACAGCAATTTTATTCTCAATACATTTAACAATCAACCTTTCTTTCCATACACTCTGTCTCAGTCTCTTCATAGCAGAAAATATGGGTGGATGGTAAGATAATATCATATCTGCTTTCTTCTCAATAGCTTCATCCAGAACAGGTGGGGTTAAGTCATTAGTAAGGAAAAGAGTTTTGACAATATGTGGTGCTGATGGTTCAACAAGTAAACCCACATTATCCCAGCTTCCAGCCAGTGATGTTGGTGCATAGGTCTTTAAATTGGACACAACTTGTTGCAACTCCATTCCACCAACTGCAGATCCAATAGGCTTATTACAGAAATAACGACACGGTGGTACAAACAATCTTCTGCTTTCTGTGTCACTGCAAGTATTTACTAGTGGAAACAATGATCGATTCCAACCACCTGTTGTAGATTTGAATATTGAAGCAGACGTTTGGACAAGGTTTATATTTGTCAAAACTACTTTTTCGTTTGGAATTCTAGAACGGCAGCGACTGACACTAGTGAGAAACGTTTGATATCTTGAGGAAATCATTAAAATTTACTGTGAAATTCACAAATATACACACAAAAGCATAAAATTGATCATATGCTTTCACGTGCAACAACAGCTTTACTTTCGATTTATCATAATCTTAAATGGAGTTGTCTCTCTTCGACAGCTCGAGTCTTGTCCTACATCTTTCCTATCAGACAGCACTAAGGTCTAAAGTGCGCAAAATGTTTATTGCTCAAATAGAAATATTCACTTGGTCGTAACAGACACAAATTATTAACAAGTGTTATGGATTTATATATTTATTTGGTTTAGACCTCGAAAAATCAACATAGAGCAAGGGACATAACTCTTAAAGGACGATTATGTAAACAAAAAAAATCAAAACTGTTCGATTAGAGTTGACAAGTTTTCAATGAGTGAATGATTGTGAACTGAAAGGTAATTTCTAAAGCAGTAAGCTTCAGAATGTAACCGAGCGAATATAAGTAAGAAAACACGTTATCGGTTTTCATTGTACGATTTTGCAAGG